CTGCCCCCGCTGCAGAGGCCTCTGAGTGATGCAACTGCACGGCATGTGCTGCACTCACAACTATAACTTTGCCCTGGAAAAATATATACGCTTATGCCAAAAACATGGATTAAAGCACTAAATATAAGATCTGAAACCATGAAACTCCTTAAGGAAAATATAGGGGAGCCCTGGCTGGTGTGGCTCAGTGGGCTGAGCACCGGCCTGTGGACTGAAAGGTCGCTGGTTTGATTCCCAGTCAGGGCACAGGCCTGGGTTGTGGGCCAGGTCCCTGGTTGGGGACATGCGAGAGACAGCCAACTGGTGTTTCTCTCTCACATCGATGTATCTTTCCCTCTCTTTCTCCCTCTCCCTTCTCTCTAAACATAAATATTTTTTTAAAAAAGGAACACACGGGGCAGAAGCTCCTTGACGTTGGAGTTGGTGACAGTTTTGTGGGTAAGACACCCAAAGCCCAGGCAACAAAAGCAAAAAGGAACAAGTGGGATGACATCAAAGCAAAAAGCTTCCACTCAGCAAGAGAATCCACAGCGTGAAAAGGGAACCTATGGAATGGCAGAAAGTATTTGCAAATCATATGCCTGGTAAAGGGTTAGTGTCCAGAAAGGATAAAGAACTCATACAACTCAACAGCAAAAAAAAAAAAAAAAAAAGTGAACAATCTGATTTAAAAATGGGCAAAGGAACGGAGTAGACATTTTCCCGAAGAAGACATACCCATGGCCAGCAGCAGTACAGGTTCAAGATCAGGGAAATGCAGACCAAAACCACAGTGAGCCATCACCTCATGCGGGTAGGAATGGTTTCCGTGAAAAAGACGAGACGGGAGAGAGCAAGAGTTGGCGAGGACGCGGGGAGAAGGGAGCCCTTGCGCACTGCTGGTGGGGGTGCAAATTGGTGCGGCCGCCCGCCGGAGAAAGCCGTGCAGAGAGGTTCCTCGGAAGTTCAAATGGAGCTACCGTGCAGTCTGGCAACCCCGCTTCTGGGTCCGTCCCCGAGGGAATGAAAGCCTGGTCCCGCAGAGGCGCCTGCGCTCCCGGGCTCGCGGCCGCGTCACTCCCATAGTCCGGACACCGAGACGGCTCTGATGTCCATCCGCGGACAAATGCGAACCGCGGATGCGAGACGCGCTGGAGTGGGGTTCAGCCACCAGAAGAGAAAGACGTCTTGCCATTGTGACCACGCGGGTGAACCTGGAGGGCCTCGTGCTTAGTGAACTGAGTCAGAGGAAGACAAACACCGTGTGACCTCACTTCGATGTGGAATCTGAAACAGACGAACTCTTAGAAACAGGGTAAGATGGTGGTTAACAGGCTGAGGAGCAGAGGAGATCGGGGGCTGCCGGTCAAAGGGTGAAAACGTTCAGCTGCGTGATGAATGACAGTTAATGCCACAGTACACACTCAAAAGCTGCTGAGAGAGTAAATCCTAAATGTTCTCATCCAGCCCCTCCACGGGGGTGCGGCCCTCACCCATCCTCAGCGGCTCCCTGGGCCCTGGGCTGCTCTCAGCTCACGTGTGAGGCAGCTGGCAGATTGGGGGGAGTTCGAGCTCCCCCTACCCCAGCTGCACCTGGAGAGAGGAGGGGGAGGAAGGCCTGTGCAGGGGCCCTTGGAGGTTAAGCAAGGACAGGGTTCAGAGCCACACCGCCGCCCCAGGCCCTGCACCCTGGCGAGGAGGAGGAAGTGGCCAACCTCCTGCCGCCCGGACTCCTGTCCCCAGGAAGCCTGAGCTGTGTCTCCTCCCGGCAGCGTCCCTCATGATCCGTCTGCAGCCTTCCATAGGTTGGTTCACCTTTCTGGGCTGCAACCCAGTGGATCTTGAAACTGTCCTGGAGTCAGGGGGAACTTGTTGGGACCTCCTTGTCCCCAAACCCCTGTCAGGGCAACCGAGCCCTTTCTGACCACTTGGAAAGGGAGAGGCACCACTTGACATTCCTGAGCTGCCACTGGGCCGCTGCCAGACTGTTGGGTTTAGGGAGGAGGGGGAACTTGCTAGCCAAAAGGCAAGGGGGGGTCTGGCCAGCTGGAGCGTTTTGGGAGGGGGGTCTCCAATACATCCCTTGTCTCGGCCTCAGCCTGGCTTCTCCCTACAACGAGCTGCCACACAGGCCTCTTGTTGGACCCACCGGAGTCTCCACCCCTACGGAGCTGCCAGCCACTGTCCTGGAGCCAGATGATGCTTGTGCAGGCCCGGGGCGGAGCGGCTCGGACGGGCCGAGCGGGCGCAGCAGTGGCCCAGGCAGGCAAACATATGAGAGCGCACCGGGCCTCCCAGAAGGAGCGGTCACAAAGCACAGCCACACAGAACAGACAAGCCAGAGCTGCAGCGTTTGGCTCTGAGTTCAAGCTCGCCACCCTGCCAGCTTGATTACTGGTCCCCAGACACAGCTCTTCTGTGAGGTGGGGAGGCAGGGCCCGCAGAGGGATCCAAGGCCTAGGGCCCTGCCTCCAAAGACTCCCCAAAGGCGTCGCCGGGATGGCGCAGGACAGTGCCTTCGCAAGGACACCCCTCGGTGAAGAGAGGCCGCAAACAGACAGACAACAAGCCCGTGAAAAGATGCTCAACATCACTAATCATCAGAGAAATGCAAATCAAAACCACAAGACGTCGCCTCACAGCCATTAGCACGGCCATTACCAAAAGACACTGAGGTAAGAAGTGTCGGGAGGATGCGGAGATTGGAACCCTTGCAGGCTGCTGGTGGGAATGCAAACTGGCACAGCTGCTACTGGAGACAGAACGGAGGGTCCTCGAAAAATTAAAAATAGAACTGCCTTAGGATCCAGCAGCATCACCTCCGGGTAAACACACCCGAAGGAGCTGAAAGCAGGGGCTCAGAGCGACACCTTGCACGCCGTGTTCACAGCAGCAGCGTTCGCAATGGCCAAGAGGTGGACACGAACTGAGTGCCCCTCGATGGCTGGGTAAAGAAAAGGCGGCATAAACACACATGGCGATGTCATGGCGTTCCGCCTTAGAAAGGGGAAAGTCCCGCCCCGTGCTGCGCCGGGAGCGACCCGTGCTCGCAGAGAAAGGCAAACACTACGTGACTTCCTCTTCAAGCATCTAAAGAAGTCAACCTCCTGGAAACGGAGCGCAGAGCGGTGGCCGCCAGCAGTGGCGGAGGGGAGCTCTGTAACGGGTCCGGAGTTTCAGACGGGCAAGGGAAAAACGTCTGTGTGCTCACCACGGGGACATACTGAACACAACTGCCCTGCCCACTTACAAGTGGTTCGGAAGGTCAACTTTTTTTGACTACAATAAAGTAAAAAAAGAAGTGGTGTGTGGGGTGCGGTGGGGGCTGCAAAGGTTGCTTCATCTGATCTTCCCGACTCTCGGATGAGAGGACGGAGGCCGCGAGAGGGGTGACCGGCCCAGGCACCCAGCCCCGGCGGGACACCCGAGGCAGACTGTGACAAGTGGCAGCACGGTGACGCGGTCCGCCACCGTGTGGCTGGGCTCGGCTCACTGGCCACGGGCGGTGCTAGCTTTCACGAGGTGGCGACTGCCCTGGCGGGTGCGGCTCAGTGGATTGAACTCTGGCCTGTGAGCCCAAAGGTTGCTGGTTCAGTTCCCAGTCAGGGCACATGGCTGGGTGGCAGGTCAGGTCCCCTGTTGTGGGTGTGTGAGAGGCAACCAATTGTTTCTCTCGCACACCAACATTTCTCTCCCTCTTTCTCCTTCCCTTTCCTTCTTTCTATAAATAAATAAATAAATGTAAAAAAAAAAAAGAGGTGGCCGCATGTGCCAGGGCCAAGCGGGTTATCTAGAAAATTCACTTCAGGGGAACAACCCCTATGTGGCTGATGTCAGCTCACCGTCCCCTCCTAACTCCGAGGGTCAGATCGCCGAGCTTCTTCAGAGACCCCCCCACCCCACCCCAAGCCAGGGAAACAAGGGCGGGGGGAGCTGTCACGGGGTAGAAGTGCAGGAATCAAACCTTGATTCAAACCTGACTCAGCCTCGGTTTCGCCATCTCTGAGAAACAGGGAAGGAAGGGCCTGACTCCCTACCGGGAACATGGCGGGTGTTTAGTAAGAGTCTAGGATGCTGGTGAACGCCATGGGCTCTGGGGCTGGGCTCATTCCCTCCCGTCGTGGGTCCCCCCATTTCCTCCGTGGGACCTCTCAGTGCCTCCTCTGCCAGTTCATCGGCACAGTGGGGGCGATCGTACCTGTGCAGGTTGCTGTGAGGATTCAGTGAGCTCGCTCATGGAGAGGGCTTGGAGCCAGGTGTGTGCTCAGAAATTAATTATCGTCAGGACACAATGGGACCAGGGTGTGTGTGTCGCTGTCCACCCCCCACACCCCTGGGTATCTCAGCTATGGTCTGCTGCTGATGCGCCCACGTGGGCCTGACAACAGAAGTGCCCTCTCTCAGAAGCGCCACCTATCGCAGAGATGTGGGCAGAGCAGGTGGGGATTGTGGGGCCCTGGGCCAGGCCTCTGACATGTTGCCTGGGCTCTGGATGTTCCTGGGCCAGGGGCACGGGCGCTGGGGGCAGGGATGGGCAGTACCAGGGCCCAGACCGTCACCCTCCTTTGTCTCCTACTGCTACCACAGTCCCTGCCCATGCTGCTCTCAGGCATCACCCATCAACCCTGCCACTGTCCCCCGAGTGCCAGGCAGCCTCCATGCTTTGGGCTCCAGGCCTCCATTAGCCTGAGGCGGTGGGAGACGGGTAGGGGGGCAGGATCTGCCCAAGGATCCCACAAGGATCTGCCCTTGTGGGCCAGCGGCCAGAGGCAGCCGTCCTCCCGGCCGCAGCAGTGGCTGGCCCAAGGAGAGGAAGCCGGCTCACCCCCCAGCAACCCCCAGCCTCAGGAACACCGGGAGGACTCCAGGAGTCCCCCGACAGCAATCCCTTCAGGATTTGGGTTTAATCTCAACCACGAGGGCAGGTGGGCAAAGAAAGGATTTGGTTTCATCCCTTCAGATGCCCGGGCCTTGGCCCGAGCCCCAGGGCGCGGAGTGAAGGCGCGTGGCCGCCCGGCCCCTACCAACAAAGGCTTCCTTTATTCAATAGAGATGGCGCTACATTCCATCCAGAGGAGGAACCCGGACCTGGTGAGGGATGTGTCCAGGTTGTGCCCCGGTCCCGCGTGGGCTGTGAGGGGTGGAGGGGGGCCCAGGTCCGGCTCATCCCACCCCAGTCCTGGACGCAGGGCTTGGCGACCTCAGCCCCGGCCGTCCGCATGGCTGCCCACAGCTGGAAACAGGCTTGGTGTCCTGAGGCCCTGTCTGTGTTTTGCTTTGGGAGGAAGGTGCCCCAGTCCTTCCAGCACCCCTTCCAGGGGTGGGGGCATGGCGTCCTGGAACACAGGGCTCCGTGAGGGAAGGGGGAAAGTCAAGTGGGTGTGTCGGGGGGGGGGCTTGACCCATCTTAGGAACTCTGGGGCAGTTCTCAAGCAGATGCCAGTTGGCGTGGAAGTCCCTGCCCGCCTATCCTAGCACCGCTGCCCCTTGGGCACTTAGGATGGCAGGCTCACTGGGGCAGTCCAAAGCGGAGGCCACCTGGGAATAAGGCAAGGGATGGCCACAAGGGGGTGCTGGTGGCTCAGGGCTTGGGAACTGGGGAAATCAGGCCACCCAGCAAGGAGCAAGGTTTCTTTCAGAGAAAATGGCAGCAACAATGCACCTGCAGGCAGCAGCTCCTGGAACTGGGGGTGAAGGGTGCTGGCCGCCCTGGGTGTCCCCTCTAAAAAAGCTGAGCCCTTGAGGATGGGTCCAGGCTCCTCGGTCTTTGGTGCTTTCTAGAGCCTCCTGGTGGCTGTAGTACCGCTGGGGAAGAGAGAAGGGTCGTCTCACGAGGTCCTGTCTGTGCTGGGATGGACGTTTGGTACCAGCTCAGTGCTGTCTCCACAGCCTGGCCATTTATCCCTCTGTTCAGCATCTGGCTCAGGGCTGGCTGCAGGGTCCTGTCTTCCTGTCCGTCTGTCAGACTCGGGGTAGGGACTGGCTCCCGCTCTGAGCCCCGCTCCGGCCTGGGCCAGGTCCTAGGCCTCCTGGGGGAAGAAGCCCAGCTTGGCCAGCGACATCTCCTTCCGCAGCCTCGTGATCTCCCAGAACATCGGCTCTGCTGCAGGCAGAGAGTGGACAGCTTAGTGACAGCTCAGCGTCGTCTCAGGCAGGTGGCCCCCTCTGCTGGCAGCTGGCTGGCACTCCAGGGCTCCCCGCTTCCCCAGGGCAGAAGACCTCGGCGTGTGGTGAACCTCTCTGAGGCTCCCAGCTGAGGTCTGGCGAACTGCTGAGCACACTCGAAGGGTCTGTGCTGTCCTGGAGGCGGCGGCGACGGTCACTCCCACAGCCTGACACAGACACACATGTGCACACTGCCACACACTCACACATGCTTTTAAACCTCACCTCGCTGTGACCTTGAGCAGGGAGCAGGGCTACGGTGTCAGTTCAGGTACCTGGGAGGAGGCGGCCCCTCAGGGCTTACCACCTGACCTGGCTTTGGCCTTCCAGAGGGACTTGACCCCCCATGTTGCGGAGGAGAGGCTCAGACTCCAGATTGGTTCAGGAGAAGACTCATCGGGGGACAAAGTTTGAAGGAGTGGGCAGGTAGGCTTTGCAGAACGGGGGGTGGGGACAACAGGTGGATGGAGGACCGGCTGGGCAAGGGCTCAGTGGGAAGCTCTCACGCAGGGGACCATAAGGAAGCCACACTTGGAGGCGAGGGGACTCCCAAGGGAGGCCCCTCATGCAGGCCTTCAGAGGCCAGGCCAGTAACGGGGAGCTGCCCCTGAAGGCTGCAGGGCAGGGAGAGGTTTCTGGGTGGGGTCAGCAGTCAAACCCAGGTACAGCTGTGACAGTGGCTAGCCTTCCAGGTAGGGCAGGGCCCAAGAGGCTCCTTCTGCGGCTCATCTCAGCACCAGGAGGCCTTCCAGCCTTTTACTAACCCAGAGTCTCCCCCCTCTCGGAGTTCTGGACTGAGACAGGGACAGCAAAACCCTGTCTTGGGTGATCCCCGCGCTGCGCGCCAGCCCCATCCCTCTGAGGCGCCGTTCCCCCACTGGCCACCAGGGGGCGCTCACCGTCCTGCCGCACCAGGCCTTGCTGGATGTAGCGGATGTAGGTGAAGAAGTTGCACACAGCAGTGATCTGTGGGAAGAAGGCGGGAGGGTGTGACCGGCCGGTCCTCAAAAGATGGGGTCCCTCAAAAGCCAGGGCAGACCAGAGACCAGCGCGGGAAGCTCATGTCCTGTCCCATCAGAGCCAGATAATGCTCCCTGAAATGAACAGGGCTGGGCCATTGAATTCACAGTAGCAGCGCTATTACTACTTCTAAGAAAAAGAATGGCAGCAACTAACAGTTAATCAAGTCCACGCGTCCAGCGAGGCAGGCATGTTTGTCATTTCCATTTTACGCGTGGGGAAAACAGAGGCTGCAAAAAACAAAGCCACCCAACAACGACTGGGGGCCACAGGGCCGAGAGCAGCAGGGTGGGAGCAGGAAACCTGGAGGTCTGTTTGGAATCTCTGCTCCCCCCATCCCACCCTGGGCCCTGCTTGCTCTGGATGCTGCAGTGCCTGGCCAGCTGGGCTTCCGCCAGGGGTGCTTTGTGATGCCAGCACAGATCAGCAGCGGCTCGCCAGGCCCAAAGTCTCCCGACCGGCCGGAGGCCTGCTCTGCGCCAGGCCCTGTGTTCAGGCCTGGGCCCTGCCATGGCGACTCTCATGCTGGGGAGAGGGCATGGCAGATGCCTGCAGGGGCCCCATCACCCCACTGTTGAGAGAGTTGGCCGTTAACTGCCCTCTGCTAATGATGGACTGGCGGTGCGGGGGACAGTATGAAAGGCTGGCTCCACTCTGGGCTGCAGCCAGGCTCCTGCTGAGGCCACACCCTCTTTGCTCCACACCCCCTCACCCCCCAGCCCCTTTGCCCTCACTAGCTCCTGAGACTCACACCAACCTTCCCTTAGGCTCTGTGTCTAGGGAAACGCACCCTGAGAGAGGTGGAAGGCAGCTGGCAGCTGCGCCCACAGCAGCCCCTATGGAATGTCTAGCACTCTGGGGAAAGGATGTCCAGCGTGTGGGGGCCACGGTCTGGGGGGTGGAGGAATCTGCAGGGAGGAGGTGATGCCCTTGCTGGGCCCTCAACCCACACAAGAGCCCTTGCCAGGGCGACAAAGTGGGTACAGAAGGGTTGGTGGCCCGGGGAAAGGCAGGGTGGTATAAAGGAAGTCCAGGGTGTCTGGGGGAGTGGGAGGGGCAGGGTGGGGTGTTGCTCAGTGGCCAGTGGGCCCCCACAGGAGACAGAACTTTTTTTTTAGATTTTTAGAGAGAGAGGAAAGGAGGGAGAAAGAGAGAGAGAAAAACATCAATGTGCAAGAGAAACATCAACTGGTTGCCTCTTGCATGCCCTCAACTGGGGACCTGGCCCACAACCCAGGCATGTGCACTGACTGGGAATCAAACCAACAACCTTTTGGTTCATAGACCCACACTCAATCAACTGAGCCACACCAGCCAGGGCTGGGGACAGAACTCTTGTCCCTGTGGACTCTGCACTACTTGGTCTCTTCAGGTGGGGACCACATCCTAAAACTTCACACCCTTCTCATCTCCCATGCCAGCTCTGCCCAGCACAGCAGACACGCGGGCCTGGAGGGAACGAAGTTCTGAATGCGGCTCTGCCAGGCAGGGGAGTGTCTGGCGTGGAGCCTCCTGCTGCACCCTGGCTGGGACTGGAAAGGGGTACGGAACAGGGCTCTGGGCACAGATGCACACGGTGGGGGCGGCAGAAAAAAGAGACTGGATTCAGAAGGGGGAGGCCCCAGGTCAGCTGGGTGGCCCCAGGCACACTCCTGTCCTTGCTAAGGCTCAGGCTCCCTTTGGGTGAACGGGAGCCCAGCTCCGCCCCCGGGGCATTCACCAGGGCAACACGCTCAGATGCTCTGCGGAAGCTGTCAGGACCAGACACGCTGCCCGCGCTGACCAGTCGGCTGCCCAATGACGGGGGGCCATCTGCCCAGTTAGTCCCCATGAGAAGCCCCCAGCAGGTCAAGGGGAGGAGACTTTCCCTCAAAGAGGGCCCGTCCACACTGTGTCACCTGTGCACCAATCCCGAGATTGGTTTCCAAACACATTCCTTTTTGTTCCTTGCAGTCCTCTTCACGGTCCACGAGGGGACAAAGGAATGGGGACCGCCCCACCCTTATCCACCAGCTTGGCAAGGCCCCCTGACCCAGCCTGGGTCCTGGGGCAAGAGAGGGCAGAAGCTGGGAGGCCTAGAGGACCCCTGGCACCCGAGGCTGACCCTCGGGCTTGGTGACAGACACCCTCGGAACCGTCTCCAAAGCCTGGGGCTGTAGCTGGCTCAGGAGCCCGCAGCTGGACTCTAGTGTCACCCCCTAGATTAAGGTAAATAGCAGAGGTGATGGCTGCACCTCCCGTGATTACATTCTGGCTCGTGAGAAAACGGGTACCTCAGTCCTTCGGCCACAAAGGGACTGAATTCTGCCAACAGCCATGTGTGTTTAGAAGAAGACCCCGATCCCCAGAAAGGATGCTGCCACTGACACCTTGACTGAGGTCCAGGAGACCCCGAGCAGGGGACCCAGCTAGGCTGTGCCCAGACTCCTGACCCAGGGAGATGAGAATAAAATGGGTGTTGTTTTCAGCCAAGAAGTTTATGGTGATTTGTTACGCAGCAATAGCACACTGGCACACCCGGCTTGGCTGTGTGGCCCGAGTCAGTCTCTGCACATCTCTGAGCCTGCCCTGTGGGTCAAGGCCTGGGATGCAGAGTCCCAGCCCAGGAGGCCCTTCAGGAGCCCAGTGACACTCCAGATGGATGACTCACCCTGGCCCGGGAGGATGGCGAGATGTAGTAGTGGCTCTCGGAGTCCCCAAGCCGGATTCGGTGGCGACAGACACGGGCCAGTCCGCTCAGGGCACAGGTGCTGGGGGGGCGGAAGCAGAGGGGACCATGGGGGCCAGCTGGGGCTCGCCGGCCCAGCTCAGGCAGGGAGGGTGCAGCAGCCAGGAGAAGGCTCCGCAGGAGGGGCAGGAGAGCTTGGTCAGCTGCATGCCAGTGGGGACCAAAGCCTCACCTCCTAAAGCCCCTAAAATGCCTCTGCTACTTTACTGGGCCCCTCAGACCCAGTCACCCCTCCCCCACCTAAGCAGGAGTCCACTCTCTCCTCCACTTAGTCACCAGGTGTCCAGGCCAGACCACACCAGCAGGGCCCTTCGACCGGCTCCCCTCAGCTCCTTCCAACCAGCTCTGCCCCTCCGTCTCCATGTTACCGTGGGCGCCACGGGCCCGGGGTTCCTCCAAACACCGCATCTAGCCCATCATCTTCCCCTGCAGCTTACCCACCGCCCAGGACATAGCCGTGGAGAATCCTGAGTGAGGGAAGGTTTAACAGGCTCCTTGGCTGGGGGACTTATCAGATCCTTTGCCGCCTCCAGGTCCACTATGGCTCTCTGGTTGGACCATGGAACCCTTTTTCAAGGACATCTTCTGGGGCATCTTTAGATTTGTGAAATGCTGGCCTGCCTAGCGGCTTAAAGCCCAAACCTCATCTGAGGACCTTCACACTCTGGCCCCCCACACCCTCCGCCACCTCAGTGTCTCCCTGCCCCACCCGCAGCTCCCCGAGGACTCGGCGGTGTTTCCGTGAATGCCCCAGGACCTCATGCTTGTACTCATTCTGTTCCTTCCGCCCGGAAGGTCTTCCCTGCTCGGCAAACTGCTACTCCGGGGCTTCCCCGCGAGCTGCCCTGCGGCGGGGAAGTGCTCCCCAGCCTCCGCCCCCGCTCCACCCTGGCGAGGGTGTTCTGCTCCAGCCCTGCTCAGTGCCTTAGGGGCAGGAAGGACCAGATCACAGGGCTGTTGGGTTATTTATTAGCAGAAGGCAGAGCTGGCCATGGACAGACATCACCTAAGTGTCAATCAGGGCCCGGAGCCCACTGTGGGAGAGAGGGGGAATTAAAGAGGGACACGTGTCAGGCCCGCCAGGAAGAGGGAGACCCTCCCCCAGCTCCTGGACTCCCCGGAGAGCCTGGGGGTCCAGGACGAGGGGCAGGATGGGTCGGGGCAGAGCCAAAGATGCCTCCTTGCCCTGCACGAGGGCAGCCACTGTCCCTCTTCTGCCAGGCGCCCCTGTGCCCCTCTGGGTGTACACCACGCCCTGCCCACCCCCGGGAACCACACCAGAACTCCCGCAGGCAGGCCCGAGGCTCGGCCCTCCTTGGCCACCCCCTCAGCAGAGTCAAGATGCAGGAGGGGGGGCTTTCCCAAGTGGGCAGGACGGAGCGGACGGAGCGAAGCTTACTTGGTGCTGCCGTATTCGACCGCAGCCACCTTCACCGTGGGCGGTGTCTGCGAAGCCACGGGCTCGATGGTGAGTGTGTTGTCCTCCACGGCAGCCCGAACCAGCGCCGAGAGCTGCGGCAGACGGGGCGGCGGGTGCGTCGGTGAGGGAGGAGCCCTGGCTGGGCGTCTGGGCCCGCCGGCTGGCTGCCCTCGGCCCCAACTCACCTCCTGCATGGTGAAGTCCAGGCAGGGGCCCACGTCCTCCCGGTACACCCTTTCTAGGAAGGGGCTGTTCTTGTCCCAGGTGGGCGATTCCCTCCAGGCCTGAAACTCTGCAAACAGGGTTGTGTCCACCTGTGGCGGAGGGCAAGGGCGGAGGGGCGGTCAGGGCGGTGGGGACCAGCCAGGCAGACACAGGCAGAGCTGAAGGAGGTGGGGGCCTGGGAGGATGCAGGGCGGCCCGCAGCATGCCGGTGGGCCTGTCCCCAGTGGCCCTGTCCCCAGTGGCCAGGCAGAAGGGCTGGGCCCCGAGGCAGAACTCCCTTCTTCCCTCTGCACCAAAGCCTTTCAAACACAGGTCTCCCTTCCGGGTGTGTTTGCAGTTTCCTGGCACTGCCGGGTTGTGGACTTGGGTCCCCGGCCTCATCCTGAAGACCCACCCCCACCCCGCAACTGCCTCCGTGAGGAGGAGGAGTTGAAGAGTGATGCTGCGGGTGCTCACAGGCACCCCCAGTCACGCACAGGCACATGCACACAGCCGGGAACACACAGCGGCTCTGAGAGGCCCCTCCCTGGCTGGGCTGGGGGAGGTGGGGGGGGCATGCTGAGCGAATGAGGCCGTGGGGCCAGAGGGGCGGCCCCCCAGCGGAGCCATTACCTGTCGGGAAAAGGAGAGAGAGGTAGCGGAAGTGGGGGCTGCCGGCTGCTCCCCGGGCGGGAGCTGCCAGGCCGGCTCGTAGGTGAGGTGAACCGCCTTGCTGGGGACCACACAGAGGAGCAGGGAGAGGAGCGGGGGCAGCCCAGGCTGGGCGGGTGGGGCCAGGGAGGCAGACAGGCAGACAGACAGGGGGACGGACAGGGGGACAGAGACAGACAGAAGGAAGCAGATATCAGTGTCTAGGCAGCAGCTCAGAACTCAGAAGAGGGACCAGACGCCTGGACTGCACCTCCTCCCCAGACACTCCACAGGTACAGGACAGGAAGGGGCTGGGGGCCGCCTGGGCGTCAGAGACCCCGGGAAGCGGATTCCCACCAGGGCCCTCGTGGGCACACGCCGGGTACAGCCCTGAGCTGCCCTTCTGACGTCCACGTCCCTTCCAGTCCTCCAGAGGGCCCCCGGAGTCCCTCTTACCACGTGAGGAAACTGAGGCCCTGACAGGTGCCCCCACGGCCAAGGATGTCATAGCCCATTGTCCCACCTGGCCCAAGGGCTGCACGTACCCAGCTGAGGACAGGGAGACAGCCCCTCAAAGGCCGTGCTCGAGAGGGTGCCGAGAACCCTCAAGTCCTGGGGTGTCACAAGGTTGAGCCCTGGGCCTCGGGGCTGTGGCCTCACAGGGCCCAGGTAGCCCCTCTCAGTACAGCTTCCCGAGGCCCAGGGAGTGTGTCTGTCTGCAGACCCCTGAGGGCAGGCCCTCAGGCTCAAGGCCAGCCTCAGGTGCAGAGATGCCATCTACTGCCTGGAGGGGCAAGGATGGGGTACCCGGCCCCCAAACTGTATGCCCGGAGGCTGAGGGCCAAATGTCTCATATGACGAGGGGCCTGTCCAGCCCTTGTGGCCAGAGAACACAGAAGCCTGGAGAGGGCAGGACAGGTCCAGGTCACACAGTGTCAGTGGCGGGGGGTAGGGGAGGGCAGGGGGTCTGGTTCCCAGCAGGCCCGAATGCCTGGCTGACAGTGGGACTGGCTCCCTTTCCTGTGTCCACTGCCCACCCACCGCCCCTCACCTCTTTGCCCTCCTTGTCCGGCGTGAGAATGTGGCCAGCAGCGGGGCACACGGCAGGGCACAGGGTGCTGCTGGTGCTCTTGTGACGTAAGTGGCCCTTGCGGGGCCCGGCCTTGGTGGGGCTCAGTAGCTGCGGGTGGAGCTCGCGGTTGGGAGAGGCTGGCGTGGAGGTGATGACCAGTGTCTTCAGGGCTGTCACCTCCGCCTGCAGCATGTCAATCTGGCCAGAAAGAGACGGCTGCCCACCTTAGCCCAGGGTGGATGCCTCCCCGGCTGCCGCCACCTGCCACCCCACTCAGGACAGCAGCAACCAGCCCCTGGAGCAGCCTGTAAGCTGGGGACTGGGACACCCGTTTCAGATAGGGGAGCTGAGGCTCAGAGGGGAGACCTGGCCCGTCTGAGGTCCCACCGGAAGCCAGGGCTGCCTCAGACACCTGTGTCGGGGCCCGTGAGGGGCACCCCGGAGCCAGGAACAGCCCAGCCCCTCTTTTCACAGACGGACAAATGGGCATCCGTAAAGTAACCAGGAGTCACCTACCCAGGCTCACACAGCCAGGAAGAGCTTTCTGCTTTGCAGATGGGGTGTGGGGCGGGACCAGAAATGACGGTGACCCCAGAGGGGATCCTCCCAGCCTCTAGGAGGCCCCAGAAAGGTCTCTGGGGCACAGCGGAATTTCAGTGGTGTACTCTCCGCCCCACCCGCCTGGGCCCTGGGCCCCGGTTAGCGGTTAGCCCATCGTCCCTGGAGGCCCCACCGGGCCCTGCCAGGGTCTGTCTGGCTGAATAGCAAGGTGTGCAGGAGCTCTGGACGGGCCTGGGCAGGTGGGGGCGGGGGCTCACCTTGCCCCGAGCCTCTTTCAGCTGCTTCTCTGACGCCGCCTGCTTCATGTTCGCTTCTCGAACCATCTTGTGGGCTTCCTGGGGAGAAGCCGTGGTCAGCAGCCGCGGCACCCCCCCCCCCCAAGCAGGCCCCGTCCCCAGCCGGCCCGCAGGTGGCTGGCCACTGTACCTCGAAGAGGCTGGCCGTCAGCTCCTCCAGCTCCTGCTCCAGCTGCTCCCGGACCTTGGACAGCCGCTCGCACTCCTCATCCTTCAGCTTTAGCTCCTGGGGGTTATGAGGTGGGTGGGTGTCAGCCCCTCAGGGGCCCCCAGGCCTGACACTGGGGCCAGCAGGTCCCCTGCCCAGGCTCCACACCCCGCGTCATCTTATGGGGGCCTGAGCTCGCCTCCTCTGTTGCTCTACGTCACGAGGCTCCTGCCAGAGGGTGGGAACCCTGCTATCGATCCCTCAGAACTTGGAACAAGGCTTCAGAGAAGTCCGGATGGTTACAGGTCATTTTGGGAGAACTGGTCTACCCTTTGTTCGGACCTCCCTCGTGCCCCACGCAGGCTGCGGCAGGTGCGTGAGCCTCGCTCACTCCGGACGTGGGTGGGCGAGGGCCCGCGGCTCCCCCAGGCACCCTGCCCGGAACCGCACCTTCTGGGCTTTGTGCAGCTCCTCCTTCAGGAACTCCGAGCCCTTCTCTCGGATCTCCATGGACGAGCTGCGAAGGCGCGACACGTCCAGCTGGGCGGCTGCCGGGCCCTCCTGGCCGGGGGCCTCCTCCCCTGCGGGGGTCTCCGCTAGGCCTCCCGGCGGCTCCCTGAGGCTTCTGCAGGAGCCCACGCTCTTCCAGGAGACGGGGACAGCTTCGAGGGGCGGTGGGTGGCCCTCATCCGGGTGGGGCTGCCTGGGAGGCAAGCGGCCAACAGAGGGTGAGGGGTCTTGAGGCCTCGAGGGCTGGGCCCAGGGACCAACCTGGGCCGTGGTGTCTGCACCTGTACGATGGGGCGCTCCCAGTGCGGCCACCGCCAGGGTTGTCCCAAGGGCAGAATGACCGAAATTGAAATCTCTCGGGGGGTGGGGTGGGGGGGAGAGACTTCCTTCATTCCTGTTTGCTCCCCACCCCCTCCAGGGCTGTGTGGGGCACACACAGCAGTGCTCCGCTCGGTCTGTCCAGCAGGTGACCCAGTGGTCGAGGCATCAGAGTTGAGAATCTGAGCTTCCACTTCATCAGGTGTGGACAATCCCAAGGGTCCTACCTCAAGGGTCACTGGGGGCACAGAGAGGTGCCTAAAACCTTGGCACGCAGAAGGCACTTATGTGGGAATTGCCTTTGTTGTTATTGTTCATGTAAATTTTATGCAAATCTCATGCAAATTAAGGACAGGACAAAGAGGAAGGACTGGCCAGGGCAGGCACGAAGATTCTGCAAACAGCCAGGCCAGGCAGGCTCACTTCCAGTCCCCCTGGATCTGTGGGGAGCAATCTCAGCTCTCCCCGATCCGAGGTGTGACCTCACACAAACACCCCTGCTCTGGGCCCCAGGACCCTCCTCCCCTGGAGACCACCAGCCTATACTGTCCCCTCCTTCGGCCAATCCACCCTCCAGCCTTTGCTTTCGAAGCAGACCCTGGGGACGGAAGGAGGAAGAGGGGGAGGGAGGGAGAGCGCTTGGCCAGCGGTGGTTTGTGCCAAGACAGCACCTCTGGACTCGCTCGCTCAGCAAAAGTTGGCGGCTCCTGAGCCAGCAGCTTCTGAGCGGCAGTGGCTGGGCTGGGAGTGGGGGGCCGCGGCGGAGATGGGGGGCTGGGCCAGGCCAGTGATAACAGTGAGGAAGTGGAGGGGAGGGGGCTCCGGGAGGCCCACACAGGAGGGAGGAAAGACAAGACCCGAAAGTCCTGGACTGCTGAGGGGAAAGTGTGAGAGGCAAGGCTGGGGGCCGGGGGCCTCCTGCTTGTCCTTTGGACTCTGGGACCGTCACCAAGCAGCCCCTTGGTCTCAGTTTCCCCCTAGAGTGACACAAAGGGACTGGACATCAAGGGACCCCAGCAACGAACCCATGCCCAACCCTTCACGTGGCCCCGTGCAGCCGGCCAGCCCAGCCCGGCCCAGCCTGCCCTCTGCTTTGGAACTCGCCCAGAGAGTGGCCTCGAGGTTTTTCCGGCCGGGCCCTGCCTGGCAGAGATGCGGGGCTTTGATGAGTACAGTGGGAATACACATCTGTCACTTCATTAATGGTCTGTGTGCCGGACGGGGATCCTCCTAGTGCCCTTGTTTGGGCAGCGTCTCGTTGGAAGGGGGTCCCTGCAGCGTGAGGGGCTGCCTGCGGTGGTGGCCCTGGGCTGGGCTCTGGTCCAGGGGACTCACGCTGTGCCCGAGTCTACAAGGGGTGCTCTGCCCATGTTATTCTGCTTAAAACTCTCAACAGCAGTCATGGTTTTGTCCCCCTTGCACAGGCGAGGGAGGGGTCACAAAGCTGACTGGTCCGCAGCGGTGGGGGGACAGAAGGCCAGGTCTTCCGCCGCCCCCCCCCCCCCCCCGGCCCTGCAGCTCCCAGTGGGTGGCGGTGTGAGCGGTGGAATCAGTGCTGCTCTGGAGGATCCCAGACCGCTGGGCTCAGGGGGAGGAGCCTCTCCTCAAGGAGGAGCCCCCCCCCCTTGGCTGTAGCAGGGAAATCTGACCCAGTTCTCACCCCAGCCTCTGGCTTCCCAGCCTCTGCTCAGGCCCAGAAATGTCCCCCCCCCCCACCCCCAGGAGGAAGGGCCAGGGCTGGGAGAGCTGTAGCTGACGGCAGAGGCAGCGTTGGGCAAGCCCAAGGCCACGCGGGGCTCTGACCTGAGGCACGTGGGAGCCCGTGGGAACCTCTGCAGCAGCCTCCCGCCCGGGGTCGGGAGTGAGAACCTTCAGAAGGGGCACTAGGGGTCAAGCGAGAAGGCCCTGGACACGGCACCGGGTTAAAGGCGTGCAGTCCGCAGCCACGTTTGGCAGACACCCCCCCCCCCCCTTATGCCTGCCCAGGCTCTGGGCCGCACAGCTGACACCGAAGGCCCTGGAGACTGTCCCCACTGGCAGTCTGGAGGTCAGGGGCTCAGCCCTCAGTTTGGGGTGGGGGGCAGCTGGCCCCACCTCGGTGTTGCCCGCTTTGAGAGAATGAGCAAGAACCATAGGCCGTGGGTTGGGGCTGACCCACAGGGACAGACGGCTCAGGGCACAGACGGGACCCCAGGCCCCAGACACCCAGACTCCGAGTGTTCCCTCTGCAGGGCCCGCCCCGCCACGTCTCACGCCGCCTGCCTGGGAGAGAGGAGGGCCGCCGGCCCCTCCCGCGAGGGCCGGACTTTGTCCACTAGTGTGGTCTGGGCCTCTGGCCACACAGGGAAAGGCTTTAACTCTCCTGCTGGTCCCAAGGGCACAGGCGGGGGGTGTGGCCAGCCAGTCCCCCATCATTTCCCCCACAGGCTCCCACTTCAGCTCACTGCCAGTGGGGGCAGCGGCGGGGGACCCTCCTCTGCAGCCAGAAGAGACAGAGAACCCTGGGAGGCCTGAGTCAGAGCCTCTGTGGTCCCTTCCCCACCCCCACCCCTGTGGGAAGGCCCCATGCGCAGATCCCAATGGCAGAAAGTGTGGGAATGGCAGGACCACCCTGTGGTCTCCAGCTGCGCCCTGCCTGGGCCAGGGGTGCGGGCACCGGAGGGGAAGAAAGGCCTCTCCTATCTTGGGAGGGCAGCTCTAATCCCAGACCCTCTGCCTCCCGTTTCCGGGCTCTGAGGCCAGCCAGCTCGCGCACTCGGAAACTCCAGACTAAGGAGGGACCCCAGGCCCCGCGCTCCTAGGCCCAGGGCAAGCCAGGATACTCCTCCCCCACGCACTTCAGCCCCCCAGACCACAGGCCCAAAACCTGGTGAGGAGGACACGCTTTTGTCTCAGGTGAGCACGGGCTGCCACCTCAGTTCTTCGCTAGTCTCTCCCTCAAGTCCAGCCCCATGCCCTCTGCCCAAACCTCCTCAGTCCCCATTCCCTGCAGACACCGAGTCCAGCATCCAGGATACAATGCTACCGCCGGCCACGGGGAAGGGGTCTGCTCAGGGGCAGGCTCAGATAGTGAGAGTCAAGGTCGCAGGTAGGTGGGGGCCGTTTCCTAGGGCCCGGGCCAGTTCATACAGGAAAGGCCCCGAGGGGTCACTTCCCCTGGAAACACAGGAGGGCGGGGGAGGCAGCCCCCGGAACCTCACTCCCCATCCAGCCTGCCCAGGACGGCCAGCAGGGCTTTCGTTTCCATCAGCAAAAAAAGGGCCACTGAGAATTAAGGCCCTGGACTCCACGGTCCCCAGTCACCCAGCAACCCCCCGGTCCACAGGCCAGTCCTTGGGCCAGAAGGGCCCGACTAGGGTCCTGTGTGCCCCTTTCCAGCCCCGGCCAGGCCCTCCTGCCATGAGGACTTCCTGCCCTCAACCTCTCCCTCCCTACCCACCCCCTACCCACGGGCGCCCAGATGGCCTCTTTGAGCCCAAGACCCCTGAGCCAACGGGCACACACGAGGGGCTCATTGAACAGGCAAGGGTGTTGTCAGCAAGGGGAGCTCCGAAACTGGGGCAAGAGGAGGGGGGCAGGGAGGGCGCAGGGCCACTCTCCCTCTGCCTGGGGCCACCGCGCCCACCGTCCAGCTCGGCTGATCCGTCAGCAGAAACCACTCCCCCCACCAGGGCCCGGCGCTGGGGCAGTGCGTCAGATTGACACTCCTGCACTCAGTAGGCCCTGGGGACACTGAGGCTGCTGGTCAGGCGACCCCAGCCCAGGGCACATGGAGATCCCAAGAAAGGTTTCACGTGCTGGCTCCCGGGCCCGCCCTCAAGCCCAGCCAGGCTCGGCGTGCTAAGAGGGGCCAAGTGTTCAGCTCCCAACACCCCAGCACGTTGGAACCCTGAGCCCCTGCCACACACCCGCGCCACGCCAGCCCACCACGGCACTGGATGGCGGCGCGTGAGGATTGCGGTGGCTGCGCGCCCCGAGCTCGGCACCCGAATCCACACGTGTCACTGTGCGTGAACCACATTACGGCACAGCCGTGAGAGGCTCTCCTCATCCTCATCCCGGTCTGAAACCCTTGAGGCACTGAGGGTCAGAGAGGGAAGAAGGCACCTTGGCCGGAACACAGGGCACGGAGGAGGCGGCAGGATGGGAAGTGCATCCGGAGTGCGGGCGGCAGTGAGTCATGTGACCTGCCACCCAGAGAAGCCCGGCGGGGAGGGAAGGGGATGAATGGCGCTTTCGGAGAAGTAAGGCAGGATGCGGAGTGGGGGGGGGGGGGCGTGAGGAAGTTGGAGATCCTGCCCAAGTGGCAGTGCTGGCTGGGCGGGTTCCACCCAGGGCAGCTGTGCAAGCCAGGCGGGCCCTGAGCTGGCAGGCAACACACGGGCACCGATGCCTCTGAAAGGGGGCTCCTGGGACCACCAGGGGCTGGACAGGGGGACAGAGAAAACTGAGTCGCAACAATGAATCGATGTCGTCGAAAACCGAGGAAAAGGTGAAGGAGGGGAACGGTAATGACAGGAATGAGGAACTGGGAGGGGGTCTTTCGGGGAAGGGGAGGGAGGTGGCTGAGGGAGGCACCAGGCCGGAGGGGGCAGCCGCACGCAGCCTGAGTCAGATGAGGGGAGGGCTCCAGAAGAAGGGGCAGCGGTGTCACACACGGAGCCGAAGACCAGGACTCCAGGGGTGGGAGAGGGTGGACCTGGGCAGCTCCAGGAACTGCGGAGCAGGTGTGCACCTGGGAGGCGGGAGCAGCAGCAACGCCTTGTAGGAGAACGTGGACCAGGAGGGAGCGGGAGGAGGGAAGAGCTGAGAAGAGAGGCCAGAACTCCTGAAGCAGGTGGGCCAGGCCAAGTCTCTCCCAGCCCCAGCCCCAGCCCCAGCCCCAGCCCCAGGCCTGCCAGTCCAGCCCAGCCCTGGTGAGAAAATCCAGCCCCGGGTCTCCGCTGAGAGCCGGGACCAGGCCCCAGAGGGCAGGGGCTCCACCCTCCACCATCTCAGAGGACAGGGCCCCCAGCACAGGGCCCACATCCACCTGCTCAGTACCAGAAGCATCTGACACCCCGAGACCTCAGACGCCCAACACACACACAGTGAGCACCTGCCACGGGCCAGGCACTCTACCAGCCCCGCTCCACCCGGGCTGCACAGCCTCACAGAGTCCAGCAGCAGCAGCAGCAGCAGCAGCAGGAGCAAGCCCCTTCATGCCGCATTCTGATTCGTTTGGTTCCCTTTCCCCAAGCCTGTCTGGGCGCAAACCCTGTGCCGAGGCAGGGGAGTCCAGGACAAGCGGGACTCTGATGAGGGCGAGTCTCGCATACAGGTGTGCTGATTATGGAACGGCAGAAAAGACCTCTACCTGTTGAGAAGGGGGAGGTGGCAATTCATGGAGGGTTTCTAGGAGGAGGCAGCAGTAAGGGTATAGCACAACCCTCTTTTCCCTGCTCTTGACCCTGGACCCCCAGGCCATACTGTCTCAGGGAAGCATTTAAGATCTTGCTTCCTGGCTTCCCGGCAATGTGGTCAGTTTGGCTCAAATACACTTATAAAAATTAAAAAAAAAAAAACCTGTCTCAGAGCGATAGTCTCCTGTGACTTAGGTGTTATAGACAACCACCACAGACTCACACTCCTTAGAGTAGGCACGACCCAGAGAGGGCGAGTGACCTGCCCAGAACCACACACCTGCCTGCAGCCCCTGAGCTCGCTTGCACCTCGCCTGCCGCGAAGACACAGCCCCCATGCCTGGGAGTTTGGGGTGATCCCCTCTCATTTCCGGGCAGTCCCTCGGAGCCTGGCCCTCCCTAGGACAGGTACGATGAGTCCCATCTGTCAGACGGGAAAGTTGAGACTAAAGGGCTAACACCCATGTCAGGTGGCTACCTCATGGCAAAAAAAAACACAAAAAAATCAAAACTAGCCTGGAGCCCAATCTTTGACCTCTGCTGACCAAGTGCCAAGTGCCCAGCACAGTGTCAGCTGCAGAAGCACCCGAGACACTGCCCTCACGCCCATCCCCTCAGAGCAGACTTGGTGCCCCAAACTATGGACATGGGGCACTGTGGCAGATGGGGAGGGTGTGGCCCCATTTGGGGGGAGCTGCCTCTGGGTCCAGAGCTATGGACCGTGTGCAGGAAAGAGGACCCACCTGAGCTCCTGCCGCATCCCACTGCGACCAGAGGAGCAGCTCTGGGCCCAGGGCCGGCGGCGTGAGCTAGCACCATGCCTTGGCCGGGAATGGCAGACACCCCAGAGAGGTGTTTCAGTTCACCTCACAGGTAAAGTGACCCCTCATACACACAGACACATCGACATCGACCCCTCCTCCCAGATTCCTCCTGGTCCCGGATGAAGGACCCTCAGGGCACAGCTGCCCCAGAGCTACAGGGTGGGGGGTGGACACAGGCATAGCAGCTTGTCAGAGTTATAAAGGTACTAATGACCCCAGCAGGGTCCCTCCAGCTGTTGTGGGTGCCAGGGTAAAGCTCCTAGGACACCAGGTCCCCAGGGGGTGCTGGCAGCTAGGCCCCTGATCTGTCGATCCCTGGCTCCATTAGCCATGGGAGGGGTCCCTAAAAAGGCAGGGTCAGGGTAACCCCCAAACTCTGCCTCTCACTCCCCAGGTGCCCAGCTCCTCATTCGGCCCCCTCATGCTTTGCGTCTGCATTTAGGAAGCACCTACTTTGTGCTCCGCACCCGGCTGGGCCCCGGGGACTCAAAGGCTCGTGAAAGAAGTGAGACTGCTGAGGATCATGGTGGGGGGGCAGTCAGCGTGGCAGCCTGGTCCATCCAGAAGGTTCCTGGGAATACGGCAGGGAGACTGGACTGGGGACCATCTCCAGAACCGCGAGTCGTCTCTTCGATTCTGTCCTCAGAGAAAGTGTCTGGCCCTAACCAATGTGGCTCTGTGGCCTGGGTGTTGTTCCACAAAGTGAGGGGCTGCCTGTTCGATTCCCGGTCTGGGCATGTGCCTGGGTTGTGGGTTCTGTCCCAGGTCAGGGAGTGTAGAAGAGGCAACCCATCGATGTCTCTCCCTTGCACCACTGCTTCTCTCCCTCCCTTCCCCTGTCTCTAAAAATAAATAAATAAAATTGTATACAAAGAGAGACAAACACAGAGAGAGAGAGAGAGTCCATCTGGTAGCACCCAGCCTTGTCTGTCGGGCCCTGGCTTGGACACCTCCAGGGCAGGACGTTCTCGGGCCTGGATCGCTCCTGGCCCCACAACCTGCTCGTCTCACCTAGAGGCCCAGAGAGGGAGGCCACACTCTCAAGGTCACACAGCAACCCAGCCGCTGTGTTTTGCCTTGGGCACACCCGACACCGGAGGTCACAAGGACTGCCCTCGCCTCTCCAGGTACCACCAGCTCATCTCAGCCACGTTCTCCCTAAACCCCAGTCTCCTTCCCCGGAGGTACAACCCCAAAGGAGACCTGCTCTGCTCCAGGGTTCCCCCTTTAAGAGTCTCTGGCCTCTCTACACCTCACCCCCACCAGGAGCCCATTCTCTCAGCGCCCCTGCATCTGGGGGTCCAGCCTGCCCCTCCCCCTCGCCCCGTCTCAGCTCAGGCTGTGCTGAGTGCCACAGAGCGCAGTGGGTCTGGCCTGTCTCAGAAAACTCTCCAGCCCCGCAGCCTCCCCAGGGGGGCTGCGGCCACTCCCCAGCTCTGCCTGGGAGCCCTGTCCTGGGACCACCCAGCTGGCCCCGTTCTTCACTGGAGCACAGCCCACCTCCACTCGGGTCCAGGACCTGGTCTTTCCCCGCCTGGGGAAAGAGGAAGTGTTTACCCAGCTCCATGGGAAGACTGCAGCCTCTCTGCACATAGGGGGCAGGGGGCAGCCGGGGCCAGGGCACACCGGAGAGCCAGTGAGCAGATGATATGGGTGCTGGAGGTGAAGCGAGGTGGGTGGGGGGAGCCCACCCCGCACCTTTGAGCCCTGCCGCTCCAGGAGCCCCAGGTGGAGGCTCAGCAACTTTCAGGCGCCGTTGGCAGAGACCCAGCCCCCTTTCCCCAACTGCACTGCTTTCCAAGGGTTCTGCGGGGGGCTCCTCTGGGCATGTACCCCCGGACTTACTGACTTGCACCCCTCCCCCCACCTCACTTGCTCTCCAAATGAGCTAGGAGGAGTTGGCGCTGTCACACAGGGGCGGCCTGCCACCCCCCTCTCGCGCTCCCAACACCCAAAGACTACCCCCCCCCCTCGCCCGCACCGCTGACCTCTCCCCGCGGAGTGTCCTTCCATCTCTGAGAGTCAGCTCTCTCTGGTCCTCGTGCTACAACGGGCTCCTCCGCCGCAGAGAGGACTGGGGAGCCGAACCCCCAGTCCTGTGGGTACAGACTCCGCAGGGATCCCTCACCCGCCCAGCCCGGACACAGCGGGAGGCGACCCTGCTCGGAGCCGCGAGCGCGCTTGGACCTACCCGCTCCACATCCCGGAGCTTCGGGGCGCCCGGGCGTTTGTCCCCGCCGCCTCAGAGATCTCCTAGCACTGCGTCCCTGCCGTGTCCCCCGCCGCTGCGGACTCCACCCCGGGCCAGCTGGCCTGTCCCGCTGCCTGTCAGTCCTGGCCCCAGTCCGTCCGTCCGGGACCCCAGCTCAGCCCCTACCCTGCCCTCGGGGGTCACGTGGCCAAGGGGGTGGCCGGAGGACACATGCCCGGCCCCGCCCCTCCGCCTGCAGGGCGCAGAGCTGAGCGCGCGCCCGGCCCAACCCCACTCGGCTGCTCGCCCCGGACAGTCCGACTGCGGGAGGAGGCCGATCCCCATCGCCCTTGGCCAGCAGCGCTCAGACGCTCCCCGCCGCTCCCTCTCTCGGGTCACCGCCTCCCCGGCACGGCGCAGCACCCCTTCCGGCCACTCGGCTCAAGAACCTGCATTGGTTACCGGGCTTTCTGCTCCGTGATCCTTATCGATTGCCACTCTGGGTCAGCAGACACCTTCCAACCCCCTCCGCGGGCCTTCTGGCCCTCATCATCCCCTCCTGAGCTCCCCGCTCCGAGGCCGTCCCTGCGCAACATTTTGCCTGGTGGGAGGCGGGGCGGGGGGGGGCAGACCCCAAAACAAGTCTTCTCCGTCTTACTCTCTGGGTACTTGTCCCAGGCAGGACCCACGTGTGGCCCATCTCCAGCCCCAGCCTCTCGTGCCTGTGAACAGCCGCCCCCCCCAGCCTTGCCTTGGCCACTGCCTTCTCTCCGGAGGAAGGCACCCGCCACGCCCACACACCTGCCCGGTCCCACATCTGCAAAACCTTTCCCCTGCACCTCAAACCGTTGGTCTCCGGGTACCTCAGACTCTCCGTGCCTCTCCCCTACCCTAGGCTCTGACCCTTGGTTGCACTGACCTCAGCTTCAACTCAGGGCTGGTGAAAACGTGACCTCCCTTCTCTCCTGCGGGGAACTGTGCCTCCCCCTCCCCCCACATCTAGAGGAGGACTGGGGGGGCTGGAAGAAGATACTCCCTTCTGGATGCTGCCAGCACTCGGGACACTAGTTTTCCAAGCCCACAGAGCCAGGGTCCCTGGGCTTGCGTTTGTCAGCTCTTCCTCTGGGGACACATAGATATTTCTTTCATTCATTCGTCCAACCGCCCTTTCTGAGCACAAACTATGCACAACACAAGGGCTGTGGGCCCGCAGGAAACTGAGAGACACAGTCTCTGTCCTCCTGGGGCTCCAGGATAGTGGGGGGAGGGCGTACGGGACATACTCTCAAGGACCTCCACTTCTAGGACCCCCACTTGCCCAAGGCACACCTACCTTGCTCCGTGAGTGATGTCTTTGTTCAAAACAGAAAACAGTAGCCCTTCCCTCGGCGGACACAGCCCCCGCCACGGCTCAGGACGTGGTGAGTGGACAGCAGGCTGGAGGCCATGCCTGCTCCGTGGTTCCCTCAGCCCGCACCTGTCCGGTGAGCAGCCCGGGGCATCCCTTCTCACTCTCCAGAAGCTTTCCGCCCAGGCCTCCCGTGCCCTTCGCTCTGCAGGGAAGTTGCTTCCCTGACTGCGGACAGACACCCGCTCCTTCCTGGCGCTCTGTCTCCCCACCCAGCCCAGCCCAGCGCAGGGCCTGGCGGAAAGCAGACGTCCTCGCGATCGCTGACTTGAACCCTTCACCAGAACAACTCTTGAGCATCTGCTGCTTCCTGGCCTTTGCTTTGTTCGCTTTGTTTAGGGGAAGGGGGAGAAGATGACTCTAAAGGAGCTCAGGACAGGACCAGGCAGGAGATAAGACCTAGTCCGAGGCCGGCAACCCGGACTGGTGGGAGATGAGGGGCGGAAGGGTGTGCCAGCCCGGGGCCGTGGCTCCAGGAGAAGAATCCTCAGTACGGGAGGGTGGGTGGGCTGTGGAGGCCCTTGAGTGAGGCCTCCATGGGCAAGTGTGGGGTCACCATTCTGGGAGCATTGACACCCCAATTACTAGCCAAAAATATTCCAGCATCTATGTATCCAGTTACCTTGCATTCCCAGGCTTCACTAGCTTCTCCCACAGCCCCATAAGCTCTGCTCCTCAGCTGAAAAGGATGGGCTCAGAGGGGGTAAGGAACCTGCCTGATGTCACACAGCCAGGGGTAATTAGGCTGAGACCCCTTATACCCGTTTTCTGAAAAGACAGCCCAGGCCCTAGGCTGGCGTAGCTCAGTGGATTGAGCGCGGGCTTCAAACCAAAGTGTCGCAGGTTCGATTCCCAATCAGGGCACATGCCTGGATTGCAGGCCACGGCCCCCAGCAATTGCACATTGATGTTTCTCTCTCTCTCTCTCTTTCTCTCTCTCTTTCTCCCTCCCTTCCCTCTCTAAAAGTAAATAAATAAAATCTTTAAAAAAGAAAAAAAAGACAGCCCAGAAACCAGAGGACTCACTGGAGGCTGCAGCTGCATGCAGCCGTGTGACTACTAGCTGCCTGGCCTGCAGGTGGAAAGGGAGAAATGAAATAAGGTGTGTCTTCTGCCCCCAAGCCACTGGCCTCTCCAAATTGCCCCTGCCCCCAACCAGTTTCCCTGGCCCTCCCCATCCCCAGCTTCGGCCGAAGTCCCTTGGCCGGAGGGAGACGTGGAGCAGAACCGCCAGCCTCCACGACCCAGGCCCTGACTCTGTCCTCCGTCCACTGTGTGACCCAGGATGAGTGTATTTTCCTCTCTGAGCCTTGGTCTCTATGTCTGCATGACTGCCAAGTGGAACAAGACCGTCAGGGCCACCCCCTGGCGCTGACCTTGTAGGAGGCTCATGAAACTCCTCCCAGTTCCAGGCTGGTCCCCTGCCCAGAAGCTGGCTACTCAACCCCTCCCCCAGGCCCCCTACAGAGCAAGATCTCCCTTCCCTGTCAGGTCACCGGCTCACCTGTCTGTGTCCCAGGGCTCCTCTCCCAGGTCGCCCTCGAGGGCAGGGCACAGACCTGATGGGGCGTAGCGAACGGCCCCTGAGCTCATCACCAGGTACACGGGGCATTTCCCTCGGGCCGGGCACCTGGTGCCTTCCTCAGCGGGGTTCATGCCTGCAGGGCCAGGCCAAGCGTCCCTCCGGAGGCTGCCGGACGGGCAGGTGGCAGAGCCTTCTCCCTACCCCCGGGCTCACACTAACCTTTGCTATCTTGAAGAAGCAGCTGCCTGTGAGGGAGGAGCCTTCCGGACAGGAGTCTATCTCCTTAGCACCATAATTATTAACTCCTGTGGCTCAACAGGCAGCAGCAGAAAATTCTGGGGCCCTCCTTCCTAGGCCTCGAAGGGTGGTGGGAGCCTTGTCTGCATGCCCGGGGCCCGGGGCTTCAGCTGGGCCCACAGATGAGGCCGCCTGTTCCCTGACCTTTGCCCAGGTTAGCACGCTGGAAGGAGGCTGCCCAGCCCTGGCTCCAGCGCTCGCTGGCTGTGTAGGCTTGGGTGAGGCTGCCTGCCTCCCCCTCTCTAACCCCTGACCTCGATACCCCCTTCAAACCTTTAACCACCAGCAAAAAGGGACAACTCAGTGAAGTAGCTAAGAACCCAGGCCTGGCTCTGGCTGGTGTGTGTCAGTGGACTGAGCACCAGCCTGCGAACCACAAAGGGTTGCCGATTCGAATCCCAGTCAGGGCACACGCCTGGGTTGTGGGCCAGGTCCCCAGTGTGTGTGGGGGGGTGTGTGTATGAGAGGCCACAGATGGATGTTTCTCTCTCACATTGGTGTATCTCCCCCCTTCCAGGCTGTGAACCCCTGGACCTGGTAGCCTCTCTGTGCTTCAGTTTCCCCAACTATGAAATGGGATTTCACCCTCAATGGCACAGCAGGCCGGCTGCTGTTGCCCAGATATGCCCTACAACCTTGCCTTCCTCTCATTAGTCCCTCTTTCGGCAGCCTCCACCCCATCCCGCCCCGCTGATAGACCTACCCCCTCCTCCTGGGAGCCTTCCCTTGCGATTTGCTTTCTTCCTGCGCGGGCAGCGGGCTCCAGCCCTCAGATGCACGGTCTGCCCTGTGTTATGACAAGTGCCCCATGGTGCTGTTGGACAACCCGCAAGCCCCGAGTTACCCACGGGCAGAGGCTGCCCCCCCCACTCATCACCAAATCCTCTGTGTCTCCTCGCCTGGCACACAGCCAGCCTCAATCCACCCAGGGGGTGGGGGTTGACTGTCTCACCCTGTCTCATTTGGCCAGAATTCTAATCCTAGTCCTGCCATTCCCTGGCTGTGTGACCTTGGGCAAGTCACTTAACGCCTCTGGGACTCAGTTCCCGCCTCCATAAGATGGGGACAATTCTCCCCCCGTGACGTTGTGAATGGCTAAGAAAGTAACATTTGTGACGCGCCTGCCACAGCGGAGACTGGAATGAGCCTTTCCTGTCCCCTGCGCCCCTGTCTTCCCTCTTCTTTCCTGTCAGCGCCCGAGTTCCCGCTGGGGAGAAGCTGCCAGTTCCTGACTAGCAGTCACACCCCGCCCGCCCGCCCGCCCACCCGCCGGCGGATAACAATATCTTCCACTCAGGCTTGGGCTTCCCAGCGCTCTCGGCCTAATGCAAACCAGATGCTGGCCTCCCTTTCCTGGCGATGAATTTTCCATGGCCTGCTCCCACCCCCTTCCTGTTTTTGCTCCTCACTGATCCCCCTATTAAATTCTTCGGTGCCCCCACCTTCCTCTGCAGGGCAACCTCTGGGCCCACCTGGAAACAATTAATAGAAAACAGGATGTGTGAAAAGGGGGTTCTCCCTGTCACCCCAACGTGGCAGGAGGGGCAGTGGCTCAGTCTAGCTGGTGGTAAAGTGTTCGACACACAGTCCTTCCCCTGCCGAGCCCTAGCCATCGGGGGGAAACTGAGTCACGGGTGCTTTGGGAACTGTGTAGAAAACTGCCGCTTTCTGGACTTTTAGGCACAGCCAGGGCCGAACGGGGAGCCGCGAGGGTCTCGTCCTTGGCTGTGACTTCTTAGAAAATTCGGGACCAGAAGAGGCCCAACCCCTTCCTGTGCAGGCGAAGAAAACGAGGCTCAGAGACTCGTCCCGGGTCACGTGTGAGTCGGGGGCAAGAGGCCGCCAGGTCCGAGCCTGGCTGCCAGTAAAAGCTGCTGCCCGAAGTCGAAGTTACGGAGTCATCTCCGGGGTTGCTGTCTCAACGTCATTCCCTCCCCTCCCCCCCGCCCCCCGCCAGCCCCGCCCCAGCGAGTCTGGTCACGAGGGG